CTTTCAGTGTCTGACTTATTTCAGTTGACATAATATCCTCCAGAACCCATGTTGCCACAAATAACATGATTTGTTTCTTTTTTATGACTGAATAGTATTCTATTGTTGACATTTAGATTGATCCTATATGTTGGCTCTTGTGAATAATGTTGCAATGAACATGACAGTGCAGATATCTCTTTGACATACTGATTTCTATACTCAGAATATATACTCAGCATTGGGAATGCTAGATCATATGATAGGTCTATTTTTAAGGTTTTAGTAAATTTCATATTGTTTTCCACAACAGTTATACTAATTAATATTCCCTGCAAGAGTGTACAAGGATTCCCTTTTTTCCATATTCTCACCAACACTGGTTATCTTTCCTCTTTTAACATTCTGACAGGTGTGAGATATTTTATTGTGTCTTTAATTGTGCTATTTTGCATTTCCCTAATTACTGATGTTGAGCATTTTTTTCATATGCTTGTTGGCCATTTGTATGTCTTCAGGAAATGTCTGTTCAGGTTTTTTGCCCATTTTTTAATCAGCTTACTTGTTTATTGCTATGGAATTGTTTTGAGCACCTTATGTATTATGCATAATAATATTCATTAGATGTATGCTTTTCAAATATATTATGCCATTCCATAGGTTATCTTTCTACTCTGTTTATTGTTTCCTTTGTTCATAAGCTTTTTAAATTTGTTGTAATCCTATTTGTCTGTTTTTGCCTTTGTTGCCTAGGTTTTGGAGTCATATCCAAAAAAACCTTTGCCCAGACCAATGCCATGAAGATTTCTTTCTATGTTTTCTTTTAGTAGTTTTATAATTTAATGTCTTACATTTAAGTCTTTAATCCATTTTGAGATTTTTTTTGTATATGCTATGAGATAAGGGTATAATTTCATTCTTCTGCATCTGGACATACAGTTTTCTGAGTACCATTTCTTAAAGGGACTCTCTTTCCCATTGTGTGTTTTAGGTATCTTTGTGGAAAATCAATTGACTATAAATGTGTGTATTTATTTATTTAAGGGCTGTCTATTCTGTTCTGTTGGTCTATGTGTCTGTTTTATGCTGGTACCATGCTATTTTGATTACTATGGACTTGCTCTAGGTTTCAAATCCCATGGTGTGATGACTCTGGCTTTACTCTTTTTGTTGGAGATTGCTTTGGGAATTCAGGGTCTTTTGTGGTTCCATATTATTTTTAGAATATATTTTTCTATTTCTGTGACAACATTTCATTGGACTTGTGATAAGGATTGCACTGAATCTGAAAACTGATTTGCATAGTATGGACATTTTAACAATATTAATTCTTCCAATTCATGAACAAATATCCCATTTGTTTGTGTCATCAAATTCTTTCATGAATGTTTTAATACTTTTCAGTGTATAGTTCTATTACCTCCTTCAGTGTACAGATCTATCAACTTCTTGGCTAAATTTATTCCTAAGTAGTTTTTTTTAAGATTTGCTGTAGGCCGGGCACGGTGGCTCATGCTTGTAATCCCAGCACTTTGGGAGGCCGAGGTGGGCGGATCACGAGGTCAGGAAATCGAGACCATCCTGGCGAACATGGTGAAACCCCGTCTCTACTAAACATACAAAAATTTAGCAGGGGTGGTAGCGGGCGCCTGTAGTCCCAGCTTCTCGGGAGGCTGAGGCAGGAGAATGGCGTAAACCCGGGAGGCGGAGCTTGCAGTGAGCCGAGATCGCGCCGCTGCATTCCAGCCTGGGCGACGGAGCGAGACTCCGTCTCAAAAAAAAAAAAAAAAAAAAAAAAAATTTGTTGTAAATAGGATTTTTTTCTTGATTTCATTTTTCAGATAGGTCATTGTTACCATATAGAAACTACTGGTTTTCGTATGCTGATTTTTGTATCATGTAAATTTACTGAATTTGTTTTTCTAAGTTTTATTGTGGAGTATTTATGTATATATTTATTGTGCAGTATTTATATATATGAGTAAATAAATATATGTGTGTGTATATATATATTTATATATAACCCCACATATATATATATATGGGGTTAGCGTTGTGTACCCAAGTCTTCCTCTCTAGAGTTCCCTGGTGGAAATGGATGTTTGTTACCTCAGTTACATATATATATATATGTAAAAACATATGGAAAAACCAGAAAACAATGTAATGGAATTATTCAGTCCTCACCTATTAATAATTATCTCAAATATAAGTGGACTTAAATTCTCCAATAGAAAGATGGAGTTGCAGAAAAGATTTTTAAAAATAAATCCAACTATGTATTGCCTATTTTAGGCAATATAAGTATTATCAAAGTATTAATAAGTAATATATTTTAGGCAATATATAGTTGGATTTATTTTTAAAAAATATATTCTGCCAATCTTTTCATTGGAGAATTTAAGCCCATTTGTATTCAAAATAATTATTAATAGGTAAGGACTGAATGCTTCCGTTCGATTAATTGCTTTCTAGTTTTCTGGTTGCTTTGTTGAACTTTTGTTCCTTTATCTATTCATGTTGTCTGCTTTTGAAATAGACGATTTTATCTACAGATATATTTGATTCATTACTTTTTATCTTTTTTACATCTTCTATAGACTTTCTTTTGTGGTTACCAGGAAGCTTACATAAAATATCCTATAGTTATAATCTGCTAATAATTTAAATATGATCACATAATAATCATTATACTTTAACTTACACCCCTGCCAAGCATTTGTGTTTTTGAGGTCACAATTTATATCCTTTTACATTATGTATCCTTAACAAATTATCATAGCTACTATTATTTGTAATAGTTTTGTCTTTTAACCTTTATACTAAAAATATAAGTGGTTTTCACACCACCATTACAGTACTATTCTGAATTTGACTGTGTACTTTCTTTTACCAGTGAGTTTTACTTTCATTTGTTTTTGTGTTACTCATTAGTGTCATTTTCTTTCAAGCTTGAAGGACTTTTAGCAATTTTTTGTAAGACAAATTTGGTGGTGGTGAATGTTCTCAGCTTATGTTCATCTGTGAAAGACTTTATCTCTCTTTCATATCTCCAGGACAACTTTGCTGGGCACAGTAATCTTGATTGGCAGTATTTTTCCTTCAGTCTTTTCAATATATTAAATAATTCCACTATTCTTGATCTGTAAGGTTTCAGCTGAGAGATCCATGCTAGCCTTAATAAAACTCCTTTATATGATTGGCTTCTTTTCTCTTGTTGCTTTCAGGATCTTCTGTTTGCCTTTGATTTTTGCAGTTTGATTATAATATGTCTTGGAGAGTCTTGTTCATATTGAATCTGATTGGAGAATTTTGACCTTCTGGTACCTGGATAGTTATCTTTCCCCAGATTTGAAAAGTTTTCTGCTTTTATTTATTTAAAAAAGTTTTCTACCTCTTTGTCTCTCTCTTCTCCTTCTTTGACTGTTAAAATTAGAATTTTTATTTTTTTATTGGTGTCTCATAAATCACACAAACTTTCATTTCTTTTTATCCTTCTTTTCTCCTCTGACTATAAATTTTCAAATAACCTGTCTTAGGTTCACAGATTCTTTTCTCTGTTTTATCAGTTATGCTGTTGACACTCTCTATTGCATCTTTCATTTTATTCATTTTATTTTTCAGCTCCTAAAGTCCTGGTCTTTTAAAAGTAATCTTAATCTCTCTCTTAAATTTTTCATTTTGTTCATGTATTGTTTTCCTAATTCCACTGAATTGTTTCTGTATGCTTTATTGATAGTGCTTAAAACAATTATTTTGCATTCTTTTTTCAGGTAGTTCATATATCGCCATATCTTCGGAGTTAGCTACTGAAAAAATATTTTGTTATTTTGGTAGTCATATGTCTCGTTTGTTTTTCATGTTTCTTGTTGCCTTACATTGATGTCTATGCATTTTGGTGGAGCAGTCACCTTTTCCAGACTTTACTGACTAGTTTTAGTGTAGAAAGACCTTCTCTTTGGAGGAGTATGAGAGTGCTTGCTGAGTGAGGTGCTGAAGTTCTGGCACCAGTGAGGATATAGCTTTGTAGTGTAGCTCTGTCAGCTGAGGTCAATGTTGACAAAAATTACAAGGATCCTCAGTAGCTAATGCTGTGGATATCCACAGTGGTGATGATATCGCTGGGGTCTCTAGTGATGGCAGATAAGGTCTCTTTTTCTTCCAAAGGGGAATTTGTGGCTTAGGGGATCCCTCTTGGCAGTAGGTCCAACTTGTGAGCTTGTTCACAATAGTAGTGGCACTGGTATCTGATGAGTGGCACTCATTGAGTTGTCACCGAGCTGAAGCCTAAAGCATGAACACACATGGAGAGATGATAGCTCTGGGATCTCAGACAGTAATGGCACCGGTGTCTGGAGTACTAGCACCTTTCTGCTGCATTGGTAACAGTATGCAAGGGACGGATGCTTGTGAAGTATTCAGGGAGTCTATTATAGGAACATGGTTGTGTGCAAAGTTACAATGGTCCTGGGCTTGGCCTCTGAGCCTGGTCACATCCCAAGCTCTCTATGGCAGCTGAGCTGGTGTCCAGAATGCAGGCATGCTCAGAGTGATTTTTGGCTCTGGGATTTGGAATGCAAACTAGTTTTCTATGACAGTGCTGGAGCTTCTGAGATGTAAGCAGTTACAGTGCAACCACAGAGCCCAGGGCTGGAGTATGGGCACTTTGGATATAACCATAGCTTTGGAGTTGGGGCATACAGAATATTTGGAGAGGTGGCATTTCTTTTCCCAAAGCAGCTCAACAATGGCTGCTCTTTATGGGATTAATGTTGTGAACCTCTCCAGAGTTCCCTGGTGGAAATGGATGTTTGTTACTCCGTTATAAAAGGAACCAGTCTTCTCAACAGAGCTGGCCACTGGAAACCACAGTGGTTCCTGCCATATGGCTGATACCTAGAGCCTCTGCCTTTCTTCGTTGTCCTTAGACATTTACGGTCATCTCAAGTATGCTGATCTTACCAGTATTTCTTTCTGTGGGTATATTATCCATTTGTTGTTTTGTTTGGTTTTAGTTTGTGTTTTTTTTTTTTTTTTTTTTTTTTTGAGGGGTTGGGGGGATGGATACTGCTACTTCCTACTCTGCCACTTTGTTCCTTGCTGATGTCATTTCAAAGTCATGTAAATATGTTTTTCTAACAGTAATGCAGAAAGATAGGAACAGAAAGGTGGACACTGTAATCTTAATTTGTGTCAGTGAGGAAATTGAGGGTCTGAAAGTTTACAAGTCAAGCCTGAATTTGAACTCTGAGTAACTCATATTTAAAATCACAACAACACACCTATTCTGGTGTTGAATTTTTGTGACACAGTTGAGTATATTGGAATGAAAATATTGACATAGGAAGTAAACAAGGTTCTCACCAACTTTCTCTTTCCATATATTCTTTCGTTAACAATTACAGTTGTAGTTTATAATACTGAGCAAAGCGAGAGCTGGCATCTGTGTCTTACCATGGATCAATATAATGAGTCCATTAGCACAAAACACCCAACTATCATTACCTCAATTTGTGTATGCAATACATTGTAAAGTTGTCATAGAACATTCTTTATTCTATGCTTTAATGTCATGATATTTAGGAATGGCCATTATCTGGGAGCAATGTTGCCATATAATGCCCATTAAACTATAGGCCACATTTAAGATAATTTCAACTAAAAAGATTTTTAGATGCTGGGGCTCTTTCAAAATCCTTTCTGTTCCTTTGCAAAATATATGGTTTCTTTTTGGCTAAAGATTGTAACATCTTCTTCATTTGCTAGTATATTCTACCCTCAAAGTAAAAGTCTTATTAACATAATCAAAAACTGAAATGCATTTCTCAAAATTAATATAAATTAACTGCTGAACAATTTAGTTCATTACTTTTGACAGACACGTCATTAAATTGTGAAAATGAACTGCCTCTAAGTGGCAGAGACCATGACACTGAGGATGAAATGTAGACTCTAGGGCCCAAAGCAGCTATAAGAGAAGCAAGTCATGCAAGGCCTCCAAATAGCAAAAAACTTGGGGGAAAATTTGTAGCAAAAACTTATTTTGTAAGATGACAACTTGTTCTATATTTACCGTTGCTATATTTTATAATAATGTGGAGAGAATTCTCACCCACCCGCAGCATGGATGACAGCCCAGTGTCTTCATGCATAATCCTCTCACCTTGCTCTCAGAATCTCTAGTTCCCTGAAGGTCTTCTGTTCTTTTAGCTGGCAGATACCAGGCATATCACAGAAGCAACACATTTCACACCAGCACATAGGCATTGAGCTAAGCTTCCAATGTAGCCAATTCAACCCAAGCATTACTAAGCAGTTCTAACAGAATGATGGTTGAAATTTCAGCCTCTCTGTAACAGCCAAGAAACACAGAAATCAGGCAGTGACCACAAATAATAGTTTCTGGAACAAGTAACATTATGAGGATATATGAGTGTCCCAGCTCAGTAACTTAGAATTTTTCAAACATGAGAAATTTATCTTTTGTGAAGGGAAACAAACCAAGTGTGAAGTCTATAAACGTGAATGTGAATGCAAAGATGGATACAAAGTATTCATGTTAACTTAATGACTTATCTGGAAGAGAACATTTATGCTGTGGTGTGGAGGGTAGCATTAAGGAGTTAGCCCAACTGCTTTCTTCACCTTACAATGAGCACACATCACATTGCCAGCTATATCATTCCACCTCCATATCTTTGCAAATACTAGTCCCCTGTCTGCAGAAGTTTCCTTCTTATGTGCAGCCTCTGCGAACCTCCACTCTCTCCTTTTGCAATTACTGTTGACATCATAGAACTAATGATTTACTACAATTGTCTTAATCTCTGGTAGTCTATACTACACAATTTAATCATTTAGATAACTGAATAATCTGTGGATATCTGGCACATTCTGAAGAAGTCCAAAGGAACATGAGAGAAAGGGAATAAAATGACTGCACACACACACACACGCACACACACACACACACACACACACCCCTTTTCCATCTGAAATCTGGGAGTGATGGGAAACATATCACTTCCACTGATACCCACACCAATATTACCAGGTACATATAAGGGATGCTACAATTTTTTAAAAAACTAAATCACTCATTTCCTGCTTAACTGAATTATTGATCTTTCTCACCTCTCACCTCATCTAGATGTGTGGGTTGCTCTGTCTCATGGCGATTGAAATGGAAAACAAAGCCCCTTCATGTCACCAATACCTACATCTGTAACTAAATAAGCTCGATAGATATTTCTCTGGATATTGGAATTTCTAAAAATAGAACATATATTTTAGCTGTTTTGAAAACAGATGCTTCTATAAAGTAAAATGAGAAAATCTTTTATCCCTTATCTCCAAAGTCATTCCCCAACAGACTATATGTTTTTAGGAGGATGGAGTGTATGTGTGTGTATATTGAAGGGACTTGCTATTCTAGGAAAAATCAGGGAATAACTGTCTTTATCTCTCACCTTTTCTCTTCCAACCTGCTCTTCTTTCCCAGTTCTTAAGGAAAATATCTTAAACTCACAGCTTTATGGTCATTTTCAGGCATTAAAGGAATATTTATTTTTTAGGTCTAGAAAATTCCAGGTTGATCTAAATCAAATGTTCTGTATCTTAATTCAAAAGTTATCTGCTTTTCCTCAACTCAAGACTGACACAGACTGGAGAATCTGAAGTGGGAAATGGGTGTCATCTGTTTTCTTCCTTTTTGGCCCTTTTCTTCTTTATTTTCTTTGTTGTTTTGGTCGTTTTACTTTTCCGCCCTGTCTTTTGCCCTGCTTTTGTTTCTATTGCATCCAGGATCAGATGACATAGGGAGGAAGGATGGAAGAACAAATACGTGACTTATTCAACACTGATTGTCACTTGAGGTCAGTAGCTGTATTCCTGTTGTTGCTATGATAAATTACTACACATTTCTTTTTTTTTTTTTTTTTTTTTTGTGGAAATAGAATAAATTACTTATCTTAAATTCTGGAAGTCAGACATTCAGAATTAATTTTATGGAGAGTTCTGGAAGTCAGACATTCAGAATTAATTTTATGGGACTGAAATTGGGATGTTAATAGGGCTACACTTGTTCTCGAGTCTCTCATGGAAAATCCGTTTTCTTTTCCAGCCCCTAGAGGTGGCCTGCACCCCTGGTCTGTGGACCTTTCCTCCATCTCCAAAGCACATCACTCCAACCTTTGCTTCCATTGTCGTATTTACTTCTCTCATTCTAATACTCCTGTCTCTCTCTTATAAAGACCCTTATGATTATTCCAGGACAATCTAACCATTCAAGATTCTTAACTTAATCATATATTTAATTTTCCTTTTGTCATTTAAGGTCTGAGGATTATAACATAGACATTTTTCAGGGGGGAGGTCATTATTCTGCTTAAACAGCAGCATCCCTCGAAAACTTGTATTGGTTCTTCAGTCAAGCACAGTAGTAATTGGTACTTCCTCAAGACCAAAGGACACTGTTTACATTCTCAAATTCTCTGGACCATCATACTCCTGAGGCAGCAGTAGATTCCAAGGCACGTCACCCCTACCTGGCTTAATTTATGTGCAGGAAAAGCACTTGGCAATTTCCCAGAGAAGAAGTGGGAGGGTGTCCAACACTCTTTTGGCCCAGTTTTGGGCCAAAAAGTCAATGTCTACTTATTGACCTTGCCCTCCTAAATGCTTCCTTGATTTTTTTCAACTCGGCACAGCATGCAGCTGAGTATGAGCCAAAGTCCACAAGTTCTGTTATGTTGCCACTGAGTCAGTGCTGTGGTCTGTCACCTTACTCTAGAATGTTTGGGGTCTCAGCAGTCATGGTCCTTAGCATGGGACCTTTGGCAAAATCTCAAGATAACGGGAAGATATAAATTAAATTTCCTGCTACATATAAATGTAAATTTAATTTAAATCATCTGAATAAGATATTAAATTTTACTTAAAAGATTTGGGGCAAAAGTCTCTCCTCTCCCAAAGACAGCCTATTATTATTTGAAAGTATGTCCTAAATCTTTGTACCTAAAGAAATGTGCCATTTTGTTTTGTGTGGTTTTTACTTAATAAATAAAGTATCATATCACATTGTGTGAGCTACCTCATTCTTTTAAACTATAATGTATTATTTCATTGACTATGCCACAATCTGTTTGGCCATTTTACCAAAGCTAATTCACTAAAGGCATTTTGCCAAATTATCAATTTGCCAAATAAACATTTTGTAATATTTACGTTTTGCATTTTAACTATTTATGTTGTAACAATGACTTTATTTCCTTCTTTTTAAAAGCTAAATAGTATTTCATTGTGTATAGATAGCACATTTTCTTTCATCTGTTGACAGATACAGGCTGATTCCACAACTCAGGTATTTTGAACAATGCTTTAATGAACATGGGGGTGCCGATATCGCTTTATATAATGATTTTATGTCCTTTGAATGTACACTCAACTGTGGAATTGCTGGATCATACAGTAATTCTTTATGCAGTTATAATTTGTCAATTTCCAATGAAATAAAATTTAATAATTTAAAATTACTTATAGTACTTAACACAAATTTGAGGACGTAAGATCATTTTGTCAGCTTTTGCAGATTTCTGCAAAATTTAAGTTGAGTCGTTTAGAAATGAAAAATATTTCACTTTTCCGAAGGTGGTGATCATGTTCTAAATATGTGCCCTTCTGGCTTCCCTTCTTTGTGCCCCTCACTCACCTGTAACCCTGGTATCACCATCTTGGGCTGATTCTTTCCTTCATTTTTGTCCTAGCACCAAGTTTTCTCTGTATTCTGATTCTTTCCACTGAAGCTTCTGTTCTGATTCTTTCCATTGAAGCTTCAAGTTGCTAAAGCACAAAAGGACATTCCTTATAATTCTGTCAATAAAATAAAAATAAAAATGTGTCAACTATCCAAAACAAAGTATTTGTTGAAAATTTTTCGTGCAATTTAAATTATCGTAAACTTTAAAAATGTAATTTTTAATTTAAATTTGCCAAATCGATTTTTCTATGAAGTGACTTTTGCATTTTGTCTATTTGGTGAATTAGCTTGTCATCACTGGCTTGAGTGAATAGCTTCAGCAATTGCCCACTTTCCCTATTAATAGAAGCCTAGTGTCTGTGTTTTTATTTTTCTACTGGGCTTTTGGAAACAAAATGTAATAATATTCTGCCTCATTTTCCTCCAAAATGGCTTTTGCACACCCATAGGAATATATAGAAGGTATCAATTTTACCAAACCTTTACATATGCCAGTTATTATAAAAATTAGTGTTTTATTATGGTTGTTTTTGTTTCCCTGTATTAGGAAGATTAATAATACTTGCATTTCTAGTTTGTACTTCATGTGTTGGGTGTGGAGCTTTTTGCAATTTTTTCTTTTTGTGGGCTTTGGGGGCATAATGTTAATCATTTTAAGGGTTTTTGTGTTGTTAAATTTGCTGATAATGTTATTTACCATCCAGAAGTTTCCTTTTGTCAGTTAAAATATTTTATTTCAGAGATCTTGCTTCATTTTTGGAGCATAAGATGGCCTTCCCTGCCTTAAAATCATAAACATTTTTTATTGTATTCTGCCAATATTTTTCCTTAATATTCAGTAAATGTGGACGTTATAGTTTTGAAAGATATGAGACAGAGATCTGGTTTCAGTATTTGAAAAATTCAAACTTGATTTTTTAAATCATCTAAATTTATAAGATATTTTAGCATTTGATAGAGTAAGTCCCCATCTTTCTTCATTCCCAAAGTTGGTTTTGCTAAGTTGACATACTAATTATAGAATCAACTTGGCAAGTCCCATAAAGGATCTTCAGAACAACTTTGATTAAAATTGTAGTACATACATATGTTGATTTGAAAACTAAATGTGTACCATGTTTATTATTTATGAATATGGGCTAGATTAATTTTTTTCTTTATTGTATCTTTTGCAGTTTTCTCAACATATGTCTTGTCCATTTCTGTTTTAGTATATGCATAGATACTTTATTGATTTTTGTTGCTGTCTTAAAGAGATTTTGCTTTTTGCATTTTTATAATTAATTATTTATTTTTATAGGAGAATTTGGGGGTTTTATATATTTAATCTTATATCCTTCTATTTTGCGGTACTTTCTTAAATGGTCCTGAATTTACTGGAAATACTTCTAATGCTTCATAGCAATTTATTTTGCTTACTGAAGGTTTTAGATAGAATCATTAAATCAGGTATTATTTCTTTCTGTTCCTTGTATGTCAAATATTTATATCAGGAATAAGATGTAAATTTTAAAAATACCTTTCTAGTATCTATTGAAATGGCAGTGGTGCTTTTCTCTTGAATGTGCTACTGTGTCCAGTATAAAATGAATACTCTATCCAAGTTCTGGGTAATGTGTCCAATACAGTCTGGCAGAAAGAGAAGGGTCATTGCAACCCAAATCATATAAAATGGATTTTACTTTCACAAAGCTCACAATATTTCAAGGTATATTAATAATGTTTTGGTTGCAAGATATATTAATAATGTTTTCATTGCAACCGAAATCACATAAAATGGATTTTACTTTCACAAAGCTCACAATATTCCAAGGTATATTAATAATGTTTTGGTTGCAAATGGTAGAAACCCAATTTCTACTCAAGAGAAAGAAAAATTTGGTAATAAAATGGGATTCTGCATAGGTTTCAGGAAAAGGATGCAACCTTAGAATGAAACTAAAGCCTACACTGATATTAGAAAAACTCAAAATTATTTTCCATTTTCCTCACTTCTTCTCCTCTTTGTGAGTACCTGTTGTATTATTAATCTTCGATTGCAAACTAACTTCCGTTCCTTAGATCTTGTAGCAGAAAACAGCTACCACATACAGCTCGCCAGTTTATATGTGATAGTCCAGGCACCTACACAGTTTCACAATTTCCAAGGGTGAAAATTCCCAGAGAAGAGACCTTATGACTCTATTTGAGCAAGATGCTTGCCATTCGACCAATCATCTATGGCCAGAGAAAAGGTTAGTACCACCACAGCTACTGCCACAGACATGCAGGTGCAAATAAAAAGGGGAACTTACCAGACAATCCTTCTGGGCCCAGGATTCAAAATCTGCCCATTATACAGGAAAGACAGACACCTTTTCTTGTGTGCTATGTTCTGTGTTAAGGAAAATATGGAGTCATTAGAAATATCCAGTGCAGAGAGAAGAGACCTCATTTTTGTTTAGGGAAAAGTGCACACCTCCCTGTCGAAGTAATATTTCCCCTAAGCCTTCAAGAATAAGTAGCCATGCAGATGTCCTAGCTGGTGATCAGCCTGGATTTTCACAATAGAATCTCTGATTTCACTCAAGTAAAATTTGTTTTCCAAGTGAAATTAGGAAACTTTGTTCTGATAAAGCTCTAGAATTAATTCTTCTCTAATGCAGGAATTCTCAAACAAATTTTAATGTGTATATAATCTTTTGTGGTAGTCTTGCTAAAATGCAGATTCTGTTTTCAGAGGTCTACAGTGGGAATTTTACATGTCTGCAAGCTACTAAGTGCTGCTGTTAATGCAGATGCACAGACTACACTTTCAGTTACAAGTTCTCATGTATTTTAAAGAAAGATTTACATTTTGGAGATTCACATGAGGCATCATGCCTCAAATCATGAAGAATATTCACCATGTAATGAGTATTGGATGAATGAATCAAGTGATAACAGAATGGAGCATAATCAGAATTTGGCTTTTTTAAAGTAAAATGTCAAGTACCTTAAAGATAGAAAATTGAACAATTGCAGTTCATGCTATGTAAACAGCTTTTCTTTAACATCTGGGGGACCTGCTGTAAATAAAGTAATTTTTTATACCATGTTATTTTTATGTCTGATTTATGGCCGTTTGGTGCTTTGCAATTATCTTCAGTGTCCTTTAGTCATCTTCTGAGGCAAAATATATAATCCTCTGGAGTTCATACAAACACCTACTGCAATTTCCCTGTAATTTCTTAGCTGAATTACTGAGCATGGGAAGCTAATTTAAACACACACACACACACATACACACACACACACACACTTGCATTCAAAGGTCAATGTTAAACACATTAAGTTACAAAATCACAGTATCTTCCTGTTACATACTGTGAAGTTCTCTGTGTAAAATAAGACTTGTAATAGAATAATATTTTTAAGTTGTTTTAAACCAATAAATCAAAACCAATTTATAGTTTAAGCCTGATGCAGTAAGTTTAGTTTTTAGAAAATAGACTCCAAGCTAAAGATTTGCATGCAAGCTTCTTACCGGAAAATACTCCCCACAAAGAAGTGAAAGAAGGAGAGTTGGGCAAAGAGAGAAGATGAACTGTGCTACAGTTACAAAGGAGACTTTAGCAGAGCCTCGGTGGTAGCTCTGAACCTGGCCGGTCAGAGATGTTCTAGATTGAAAAAAGAGCTCCTTGTCTGAGAGCAATTATCTGGGAAGGATATAGCTGTGACGTCAACTGCCAGTACTCCCAGAGATTGGGGTAATGAGTGTCTCCATCCTGAAATAAGATCTGAGCCAGACAACACAGCATCCATTGCAGAATGCCTCTTGCACCTTACATGCTCATCATCTCTCCTCTGCCCAGTCAGGATTCTCTTCTCCCATCCAAGTACTAACTAGGCCCACCCCTGCTTAGCTTCTGAGATCAAATGAGATTTGGTGTGTTCAGGGTGCTATGGCTGTAGGAGATTCTCTTCTTTATTAGCACTTCTGCTGGCCTAGGTTACGTACATGATGGGTAATCCACGCCCTTATTCCTGAGGGCTCTGAGTCCTGGTACTTTGTCTTTCTCAGGCTGTGACTGATGCATTGGTAAATTAATATCTAAACTGGCCAGGACAATACCGAATGATGCCACAGTAGCTTGACTGCATACTATGAACGTTTCATCCTATCCCTGTTTTATCACAGCAGCCTTGCTTTGTCTTGATGGTTAGTGTTATTTGCCTTGACCAGAATAATTAGTCCACTCCGTTAGCTTCTTGTTGACCAAATGGCAACTACAGCTTTAAGTTTAGTGAGATTCTTGCAGTGTCCCCTGGTAGAAATATTCTTTCCCTAGTATTCTGTATGCATATGAACATTACAGCTCAGAGTTGTGGTGATGGAAAGCACATTTGTGCCCACATGGGTCATTGCAAGTAAACTAAGAGGGAATACTCCAACTTCTACACTTCGTTTCCTCATATATAAAATAGGATGAGTGTAGCCAAGAGTCAGATGCCCAGGGTTGCTTGTCTTTTACTGTAAAGTGTCTTCTCTGTGTGATATGATAATAGATAGGATTCTATACTGATGACTCAAATACTCTATTAGCCCTAGAGTAGTGATTTGACTTGAATCAAAACACATTACCATTATGAACTTGTCTTCCCTGTAGACAGAAAAGATACATTCATAACAGTAATATGTTTTCATTCAAGTCAAACTGAACTGCTACCCCCTCCAGAGTGGAAGTGGTTTAATGAGACCAATTTGCCACAAAATGGCTCTCGAGTCTTGGGAGACAGTGCTGAATTATGGCCTCAACTTTGATCTCTGTTGCTGGCATGTCGGAAATTTGGTAGCAAAAGTAGTTAAATTAGGATTGATGAGTGAAAACCCATTATGTTGGGCCATTTCCTGCTACTATGACTGTTCTGGTCACAAGTCCATCATGGCAGCATTTGAGTGACTGATAGCAGAGGCAGGCCAAGAACTAATAGCCAAATCACTTTCTATTTGATTGTTGAGTTCTTCTTACATAGACAATGCAACATAGGAGGCCCTAGTATATAATACACAGAGCTTCACATTCCAGTCTTATCAGTTCATTTATAGCTTATTACCTAGAGCTTCTTGTCTCTAATCTTTCAAACTTTCTCTTTCCAGGCCCATGAACAATCAACCAAGGCCTTACACATTTCCCATGAGATGTTTTAAATTCTAAACTCAGGCCACTTTTCTAATAAAGTGGATGACCACATACAACTCGTAACTTCTATTCACTGGGATAATTTTCCCTCCTCACCGTCTTTCAGCACTAACCCTTCAATAGTAGTAGCAGTCCACTTAGGACTTCAGTTTATATACCAAACTGAACTATCCATAAACCATGCACAGTATTTCTCCTTTTCTGCCAGCAGGTCTAGAGGGAGATACAAAACCACAGGTGTGAGCTGAGGAAGATGCACTGGTGTAACAATGGCAGATGAGATGACAGTCTGTTTCCTTGTGCCCAAGTATTCAAGTAAAATATGTCTTCAACTCAGTGCGGACACATTAAAATAGCCTAAGTTCTATACTAATGAATATTTCAACCTACAAATACCATAGCATCAATATCCAAAAATAACTTAATTTATAATTAATGACTTAAAGGCATCACTCTCTTTAAATGAATAAGAATATATTATTGCACGTTAGTTCCAATTTACAGGGAAAATGCATTCAGTGAAGAAGATTTCTCTCAATTCGTTTTAAAATAATAAAGAGAATTTATAAATAATTATGAATTAAATGTAGCAGCAGCAAGTTTTGAAAACATAACTTTTACTAATGTGAATTTTCCTGATGTTCTTTTCATTGGAATTTAATTTTAGGACAAATTGAAGCTTTCAAATAGCACCATCTGATCATCTATTAGACAGTGACATACAATACAGCAGTTGCAAAATGAAAAGGAAGTGAAGCAATGCTAACAAGTAAAGGCAAAATTGTTTCAATTTCCCAAGATTTCTGAATTCATAGAAGACTGATTTAGTGACTGTAGAAGTAGAAGCATCATATTCTATACCAGAGCCATAATAAACTTAAAATTCATGTTTCAGAGGCACAAGTGAAAGGTGTACTATACAGTAATTCTAAGTGTCTAAGAATACAACAGAGTCTAACAGCGTACCAGGAGTTGTTTCACACTATGAACACGAACACTGTGTTTTTAATGTATAGGTAAGCCATAATGAAACTGATAAGCCATTTGTTACATTACTTATAGTCTACGTGTCTAGGTGGGGAATGGGTAGGGGTGATGGCAACCAGTAATTCTGGTAACTTTTACCTAAAATCTTTTTGTGTACATATCTATGAGTTGACAGTGGAAGCACAAGAGACAATATAACGTGGCTGAAAAAAATGCCATATATGGTATCATAATACTTTGTGGAACAAGTCTGCTCACTGAAGCATAAGTGGGTCAGTAATTGCTCCTGGCTATATAATGAAAATTTTTGCAATGAATTAACTAAACTCTTTCCAAATAGTATCTTTTAAAATGTTCTTACAGAAAACCTCCAAATACACAAATGTAGCAATAGAAGTAGAGTGACGTTCTAGAAGTAGAGTGACGTTCTATTTCTCCACTCTCCAGTGTCAGCAATTATCAACTTTTGAGCCATCTGGTTTTATCTGTACACAACTCACTTCCTCATACCTCTGATTATTTTAAAGCAAACTGAAAATATTACACCCTTTCATGAATAATTATTTCAGTGTAAATCTCTAAAACATAATGCCTTGTTTTCTATACAGAGCACCACCAACACCTGAAAATTAATAGTAAGTTCACATTATCATCAAATATCCAGGGTTTATATTTCCTAACTTTCACAACTTTTGCTTGTTTGTCTGCCATTTGCAATTCTAGAAAGACCTGTGAATTACACTTAGTTAATATATCTCATAAGTTTCTTTTACTAGAGTTTCACCTTCCATTATATTATTTTTCTGGCAATCTTTTATTGAAGAAATACTGTAGTTAGCCACAGATTTTGCTCACTACATTACTGTGGTGCTACTTAATACATTCTTCTGCCTCCCATATTTTCTGTAGTTGCTATGAAGCCAGGATAAGATTTCGTTTTCTGTGTGTTTTGCTTTGCAAGGCTATTTCATAGTTGGTCATGGTCATTCCCATTAGAAGGGATATACTGCCTGCTTTCCTCTGTTGTTTGTGCTATTATCAGTCATTGATGATAATTTCCTGGGTCCACTAATTAATTAGAGATTGCAAAATGATGATATAATTCTAATATTTCTTCTTAATTTTTATTTGGATACTTCTATAAGAAGAAACTTTATCACCTCTTTGGTTAACTGCAGTGCAAATGGCATAGAAAACACAATGAATGGTGTTTTCTCTCTGTTTA